GATAAAAGGAAGTACTTCTTCACCCAAAGAGTGATTAACACTTGGAATTCACTGCCACAGGAAGTGGTGGCGGCTACAAGCATGGACGGCTTCAAAAGGGAATTAGATAAGCATATGGAGCAGAGGTCCATTGGTGGCTATTAGCCACAAGGTATAGATAGGGACTCTGGGGCAAGTGATGCTCTGTCTTCTTGGTGCTTGGGGGGGGTCAACAATGGGAGGGCTTCTAATGTCCTGGCCCCACTGGTGGACCTCCTGATGGCACTGGTATTTCTGGCCACTATGTGATACAGAGTGTTGGACTGGATGGGCCTTTGGCCTGATCCAACATTGGCGTCTCTTATGTTCTACTATAACTGCCCTGGTATCAGTGCCAGCCATATACACCTGGGGAGGGAAGCTGGCAGAGTACAGAGGGATGGAATAGGCTTAGCATACCCAGCATCACTGGTTCAAGCCCCGGGAAGAAGTCCTCCCGACACATTTCAAATGGATCAACTTTCTTCCTGTCAAGTGCGCTGTTTACAAATTCTAAAAGAGGCGGTGCTGTTTTTGCAATCTATATATTCTTTTCCAATTGGGCTCCAGTGAGAATCAAACCCCTTCTCAGCAGGTTCGTAGCCAGGATCTTTTAAAGTTGGGGGGCATTTGAATTTCTTAGGGGGCACTGGCTAATCGAATTCATCTGGGGGAGAAGGCTATGACGCCCTGGGCTGGATGGGGAGTCAGGGGGCCTTGCCAGCAAGTCAGGGGGCCTAGCCCCGAGATGCCCCACTGTAGCTACGGGCCTGCTTCTCAGAATCCAGTGCATTGTGATTGCCAGCTAAATACCAGACAGAATATAGATTCAGGTGGGTAGCCGTCTTGGCCTGAAGCAGCAGAACAAAGTGTGAGTCTAGTAAAGTTATACCCAGAATGAAACTTTATTGGTCTTAAAGGTGCCACTAGACTCAAACTTTGTTCAGACAGAATATCAGTCGTGTACAAAATACCCCCAATGCCATTAAAAACTTTAAAAGGAAAACTAGATTTAGACGGCTGCCACTCCCAGGAGTCGTGGTTCCAGTCCCAAAGAACTCTCACCTCGGCCTTTCCAGAAGCAGGCCGCCAGTTCTGTGTCCCTGTCTGCCACCTAAAACTTATTGTTATTTTTAAACCTTTTTTATTTTCGTTTAAAGTTATATATAAAGGGGACTTTAAAGTTATATATATAACTTTATAAGGGGACGGCCAAAGAGGAGATGGTTAGACAGTGTTATCGAGGCAACGAACATAAAATTAAGCAAACTCCGGAGGACAACAGTAGACAGGAGGGTGATGTAGCCCATGTGCGACTGAACAACTAGATAGATAGATATAGATATATGTGTGTGTGTATAGATATATATACACAGCGTTCCCTGCGCCTTGGTGTTTAGTCATG